TCTCTCTCTCTCTCTCTCTCTCTCTCTCTCTCTCTCTCTCTCTCTCTCTCTCTCTCTCCCTCTCTCTATCTTTCACTCTCTCTCTCTCTCTCCTCCCCCTCCACCACTCTTTCTCTCCTCGTTTACTTTTGCTTCCATCTCTCTCTTCCCCCCACTTGGCATACAACTAACCCTTCTCCCCTCACTTGGTACATTGCCAGGGTGCGAACGGTAAGAAGAGATCAGACCTCACTTGGTGGAGAAAGAGGGCAAGGGGAGGGTAGCCGGTCGCTTGCGCCACCAAAAAGGCAAAGGAAAGGACGATTGAGAAAGTGGGAAAAAGAGGAGGAATCCGAGAAAAAGCATAAGTGAAAGCAAGGTCAGTTTGACTCAACCATTTCCCCGACTGCATGACTATGAGAAGAGAATGGGCTGATTGAGCAACAAGAGGGAACAAAAGCGCAGCCAAAAAGTTTGAAAAGATAGGCATGTGGGAAGGGCTATGTGTTGACCCCCAACGGGGGATTGTATGGATCTTCTTGCTTGTGTGGGATTGTGTAGGTGAGTGATGGCAAAAAAAAAAGGCCTTGAGCRGGATAGRGCCSAGAGGAACTGGGCACCAAGAGGGAAAGGGAAGAGGGACAMAAGGGCTAYGGGACCCTTGGCATAGAGCCAACCCATGGAAATGAGTTTTGCGCTTGAGACTYGGAGTGTAAATGAGAGTGCAGTCGTACCAAGGAAAATGTGATGTTGTGTGTGCATGCATATAAGGGCCCCAAAAAGACTAAGGGGCCTACCTCAATAAGGTTGAAAGCAAATTGTGAGAACCGATGGATGCGTAGAGGCGAGGGGGAGGACGACCTCGCCGCACCCCGATGAGGCCTTATAGCCACAATGCTTAGGGAAATGGTGTGCGGCCTAAGGATGACGCCTAGCCTGCGCACAAGAGAAGAGAAGCACTCAAAGAACCCTTGGACTGCCTGCGTATTGGAAGGAGCAATTGTATGAGAACCCAACTATGAATCAAAAAAAAGAAATCAGCGTTGCGGAACAACCAGCGAGACTACCACCCGGCGTGAGGGCTGAGATACATCCCCAATGTCAAAGCTCTCTCGCGCGACGACCCACCCCCATCCATCTCAAAGCACTAGGTGGGGGTGACCTTGGGACGAATGGCCCGCGCCCTGAGCATGAGCGTGGGCGGGCCGAGGCAATTGGGACGCGCAGTGGGGTCGACTAAGGCTCGAAAGTCTACCGGGGTTTGGCCCTACAAAAATGGTGGAGGTGACGGGCAAGGGTTAAATTGACCCTTGCGATTCCGACGGGGGCGCCCGACGGATGGACATGTACACAACCCAAGATAAGGAAAATGGACATGTGTTTGCTCTTTCCCTTGTGAGAAATCAGATTTGAGAGTGGTTGGGCGCATGGCATGACCAGGCTTGGAGGTATAACATGCATGCTATGCACTTGATCAGCCATTTCCTTGTGGAATGGCTCTAGCCCTCCTTCGTCCGGTGCTGGTGTTTGCCAGCCCGGGGAAGCCTTGGGCAAGTCACAGGTCGACCCTTCCTCTTCGTATGAAAGAAGGGCTCCGGTTACCTGGCAGGCGGTTGGTGCTTGGCTTAGGCCGGGCTCCAATTAAAATCCCGCAGCGGAGTGATCCGGCCAGACGGGTACCCTTCTTTTTGCCCAATGGGCTCATGCACTTTGCACCTTTTTTTTGAAATGCTTGAAGGAACCAATATGAACACAATGGGTCATCAAGAAGGAACAATCCCGCCCTATGAAAGGACAGACAAGTGAAGAGAAAAGGGAATGAAGGGAGTTGCTAGACTCCGAGGAAAACTAGCTCACCTTTGAAGATTCTCACGAGAAGGAACCAACCACTATGTATGAAAATAGGGGGAGTGGCACTCATGGTCATGAGAGAAAAATGTGAGTTATGGGTAGGAAGCGCTGGGAGCACCAAGGGAAAGGCACTTGTATTATATGTGTCCCACTTGGGGCTTGTGTTTGCATGATGGGATTCGAGTGTCCTGCCTTTCGGAAGGAAAGGATTGGTTTGCACGGCCGGTGCGGGTTGCGAAATGTCGCTCTCTTTTTGTAGGCTGCCGTGTGTTCGTGTGTGGAGGTCAGGCCACCGAGCTGTCGGACGGGAGTTTGTCACGCCGGGTGATTAGTAGCATTCTCATTCGAGCGGTGACGAGCTTTGGCTCGATGATCTGCCGGACGGGGTGCGAAACGTCTCCTTAAACGGGGCTTGGCCTGTTGACTGGCGGAGGGAGTACCACTGCATGCGGACAAAGACGGAGCCTCGGAGACGATTAGTAGCCTCTCGTAGCATGGTTTGGGAAAGGCTGATTCTTATCGGACCGATGGAAGTGAATGCCCGGACGACTGACTTTTGTCCCTGTACTTAGGCACACGGGGTAACCCTCGGTGTCGGTAGGGATGTGCAAGAGCGGCAAGACGGGATGGGGTATTCTGGGTACAAAAAAAGGGCTAACGCCTTGCCGGAGCCTGGGTACCGCGCTCGCTACGGTTGAGCTGCGCTTGGGGTATGGGATAAAACTCTACCGATAGTACCAGTGGAGAGACCATATTGGGGATGGCCGGTGAGGAGATGACTGGCCCGTATGTGAGATTGCCTGATTGTTTTCGTGTGTTCCTCCCTCCGTAAAAATTGATTGAGCCTGAATTGTTGGACGGGCATATTTCTAAGTCTATCCCCCCTCTTTTCTGAGTCCACACGAGTGAGAGATGATCGGAAGGAAGGAGGATAGAGGCCAGTTGGAATGGAACCCAGAGAAGGAATGTGGGGAAATGGATGGCCGACCGAGGGTATTATGGGAAGGAGGTACTTAGGATTGGGGAGGTACATTAAGGAGACCTTAATGAGGGGTCTGAAATAATTCTCATCTAGGACAAGGGTTGACCTGACCAGAAGGACCGTTTGGTACTCTCTTATGAAAGCAGGGGTTGGGTGCTGGAAACAAGATGGCGCGATGGTTGTCTTCSCYGGTCTATACCAGCGACCSGGAAATGCCGGTAGATGTAAAGGATGGGGTGTCGGTCGTCCTCCCGGAAAATGGGACGTGGACGGACCTTGAACTAGCATACCAAACCGTAATGCTGGAAGGGGAGGACGCGTTCCTATGGATAGAGACGATGTGGGCTAATGTCAGCTTGACRAGGTTGTCGCCAAGATTAATGGATCTGGAGTTCCGAGGGACAGTGGAAGCCCGGGGGTGGGTCTACTTGTCGCAAGACGGGGAGAATGCTATGGTCATAGAATTGGCACTCGGGAATACGCCGGATGAATTGTTTAGGAAGGCAGAAGCGGAGGTTGTATGGGTTGCGTGTCAACGGAGGGAAATGGAAATGGAGAGGGTAGATGTGCGGGTGGAACTTGGGGATAGAGGGAGCATGAGGCGACCCGTTAGAACCATGCGATGCGTGTTGCCTCCCTTCCTGGTGGACGCAGTTTTCGGAACCCGGAGCAGGTTAGTACAAATATGCTAGTCCATGACGAACCTCGGACTATACCAGTGCGCTAGGCAGGATTTCTTTCGGTTGTCGGCAGAAATGGGGCCGTTTGAGGGGAACAGGGCGGACGAGCTTGCCGAGGTACTAAACTGCCTTAGTGTAGACGATGTTTTTATCGCTAGCTCCGTGCATTGGAGGATAGTCTATCGGAATGTGGCAATAGGGGAAACATTTCTGGAAGGGGTGAAAGAGTTGTTCTACGACGAAGAGGACGACTTCAGCGATGAGGACGAGGATGATGAGATARAGGACTGGGACTTCTAAGGGGGGAGTGACTTAACCTARGGAAAACGGGTGGCCTGGTATTGTTCAGGAAGTGGAGAGATGACTAGAGAGGAAAGGATGATGGAATACACCTTCAAGGGATGGGAACCAAGGCGACTCAAAGGAGGAATAGAAATGCCTATACCAACAGAGAACGAATGGAGGGGGACCACGTGCGACTGGGTTGGGTTTGAGGTTGCCCGAGAATTATCATATGCATGGATAGAACGGATTTGGAACCCGATAAGGGAAGAGGAAGGTTGGGACGAGATAGCAGAGGGCAAAGTGGAGTCGGTCGGAACGATTGTCCTTTCCGAAGATGGGTGGCACCTATTTTGCACTACTTTAGCGATGGGACAGGATCCAATGTGGCTTCTAGGGGATGCAGAGGCACGAACCCGAAAGGAAGGCAAAAGGTTCACCAACAAGGGGTGGGACGAAGTTAGTAGCAGAGTTGTGATGGGAGGATGGAGGGAACTCAAGCCTCCCTGCCTACGCACAACAGCGTGGGTTCCCGAGTTCGTGGTCGACTGATTCGGGGGATTCGAGCACATAGCAGACGTGGCCGACTCCATGAGGGAAGTACACATAGAATGTGCCTGGCTGACCGAGGAATTCTATAGGGTTTCCTTAAAATATGGGCCCTTCTACGACGATAAAGCCAGTGAAGTCATCACCGTCTTGAGGATAGGTAAGTACGACCACCTAGAGGTAGACGCGGGAGCTTGGGACGCCATAGTTAGCCGGGAGGCGGCGGCCGCGCCATCCTACGTGGACGATGTCTTTACGCTGTTTGAGGTACTGTGGTTCGATTAGAGGGACCCAAAGATCAAACACCGCAGGGAGGTCGGAGTATGGAGGGTGCAGGTGGATCAGGATATTGCGTAAGAAAAGGGGGCGTGTACATCAGTTAGCAAGGGATGCGAGGGGGTTCAAAACGAGAAGAGGTAGCAACACCAAAAAGGGGAAGAAGATGTGTAYGTGTATGGGGCAGGSATAGCAACAAGTACTAGTGTACGATAGGTAGGGAGTGCTGAAAGACTAAAGCATGAAAGGCGTGGAATCTCGGTGGGTGCAGCAATCGGACTAAGGA